TTGGCCGCCATTTAAACCCCCATAGATTTGTGGGTCTTTTGTGAGAGTATTTGGGGTTAACCGTATTTGGGCTTGTGTGCCTCTGTTTTGTGTAAGAATAATGCATGTGTTTCACCGGCGTACCTGCTTTATGTGGTCTTGTAGGGAGGGATGTGTCTGTCCTTTCGTTTATATTTTTGTATGTCCCTCACTGGCGTACCTGCTTTATGCGGTCTTGTAGGGAGGGATGTGTCTTTCCGTTCATTTTTGTATGTCCCTCACTGGCGTACCTGCTTTATGCGGTCTTGTAGGGAGGGATGTGTCTTTCCGTTCATTTTTGTATGTCCCTCACCGGCGTACCTGCTTTATGCGGTCTTGTAGGGAGGGATGTGTCTGTCCTTTTGTTTATATTTTTGTATGTCCCTCACCGGCGTACCTGCTTTATGCGGTCTTGTACGAGAGGGATGTGTCGACGGAGAGATATGTACTATCCACTTAAGTGTGTACAAAACGTGTTTCACTGGCGTACCTACCATTATGCAATTTCAATATTTCTTTCTTGCAGGCAGAGAATAGGAAGTGGTAGTAACTGATGAGTCAAATGAAGCGGTAAGGCGTGGCATACAGATGAAGAGAAGTTCGAACAGCCAGAATTGATGATGTGGATTCATGATCGGGTTGAGTGCTACACTGGGTTGATTTAAAAAAAGACGATTTTCGTAAAACTACTGCGTTCTAAAGTTATGGCGTGAAAACCAAGTGAACAAGCCAATGGTAATTAGCACAGGCTTACCTCGACTGCGTCCGCTCGCTCTGTGTATCTTGAAGGCACAAGAAGTCACAACGAAGGGCATGTATCAACTCCCGCATGCAATCTACTACTGTAGCTAGCCCGTGCCAGACTCTCCGCGAGCTACTAGCGGGATACAACGCATACTTGCCAACCGTCCCACATTCCGCGGGACTGTCCCGCAAAAAAGAGTGGCGTCCCGCTGTCCCGCAGCAGAGCCTTATTGTCCCGCGTCCGTATGGCACGCGATCCGTAACAATAATCCCCAAGGTATTACCTGTAGGTTAGGGTTTTGTTACGGTGCCATATGGCTCCGCGTCACTGCATGCGCGCGCAGGGAGTTTCTATATTATAGCTCGCTGCGCATGCGTACGATGTGGAGAGACTTGACCTTTGTCCTTTTGCTATTAGCAGCGATAATGTTAGGGAAACTGGGGAAAGGGAGCAACACAAAGAAGTCTACAAACAAGAGAAGATGCAAAACAGTCCTAATTTTGTGTGTGCATATTAAATAATTGATGTAGTGTTTCTGTCCTGCAATTTTTCTTCATGTCCTGCATTTCTGAACAAAGTGTCCAGTAAAATGAATTTACATGGTTGGCAAGTAAAGAAAAGAAAAGCCCAGCCCATCAATTAGTGGTACCGCGCATGCGCAGTTCGCCGAGGGTTTGCACTTTCATTATGATTAAGTCGGTGTGCTTCATGTGCAGTGCATGCGCGCTCTACAATGCCAATGTGCATACGCTTGCATTGATCGACATTTTCAGAACCAAGAGATTGATACATAACACAATTGGACAGTATCACTCTAGATCTGATAGAAGAGTTAAGTTCACAGCTGGCCGTAGCTTCCGCTTGATCCTCTGCAACTGACTGGACAGCCCATTTGACATAATTAGGTTGTGGAAGTGAGGTTGAGGGGTCTGCTGGCACCCTTTCTTTAAATTTGAATTGGCCATCCCCAACCCTGTTTGGTAGTCGTCTTTCAAGCTTTCTGATGGATTTATTTAAAGCTACATATACAAAGCTTAAGAATATAATATTATTACCATCTGATCGCCAAGTCAGTTTATACTGACGAATCACACCTTCTGCATCGCTCTCTTCTGTCATGTAGTTGTAGTCTATTTGTTCCCATCGTTTTCTCTCCCTGTCCTTCTTTAAACACTTTTTTGCTCCGGTCATATAACTGAAAAAAACCTGCATCAGTTACACATGACTTTAAACTTAAATTTTAAATACCTGCTTTCGCAATGCTTTATTCTTTGAATTATGCCGAGTCGTTCTGGCTTTCTCAGCACACTCTGGCTGACTATCAAGAAATAACCTACGTCTACTCTCATAGTAGCTACCGGTGAACTACACCTAAAATGTATAATTAATAATGATGTTACTCGATAATTGTAACCAACGTTTAAGTTGTTTTGGCGAGTGATTCCCCTTGAACTTTTCTTTAATTTGTTCTAAAAGGAATCGTCGAACCTTTTTATTCTTGTCACTTGTGTAGCTATAAAAAGAAACACATTCTTGTCCTGCTTTATAAAGATAACTAACTACCTCTCACATCCCTCAAACTTCTCGGACTCTGCCGCTCCATCATGCAAGGCCTTAACTGCATCCTAGTAAAATATAACTGGCCAGTAAAACAAAGGCAACTTACAGAAAAACTACGAGGAATCCTAACAGGTCGTTGGGAGAGGCAACGGATAGCGCATCTTCAAGTTTTCGCTTGAGTTTTGTCACCTCCGTTCCAAGATTGTCGATCTTCTCCTGCAGTTGCGCTCTGTGTGTTTGGGTCTCAGACCTATGCTCATTTAACATGGTGAAAATAGCGTCCAGCTTTTGCTGAAAGGCGAAACCAGATCAGAGCGTCCACCGTGTTCTTCCGCTTCACGACTCCTATCTCCAGCCCTTGTCAACGAACCTCTACTACTGTAAAACATTCCAGACTGCATTTCTCGCCGGTAACCGGGTTTTGAAGGAGGTAAGTAGCTGTATAGCTGCTCTAGCACACAAAGAACACAAAGCATCTATTGAAATGTCGAAACATTATGAAGCCGCTGAAGTGACGGGAACTTTATATGAGCAAGAAGCAGACATACAGGGCCCGAACAGTACTGCAGCTCATCACAACACGAAACCATTATTACTGGATGCTGTAATCACACCACTCACCAAAGAATCTCCTAGTGAAATCAATTACCACCGACTCGTCCTTGAAGCCAAGAAAGAGCGAGACAATGCATTGCTTACCACGAAACTGTGGAGAAATACTGCAGAGAGAATAAAAGAAGAAAAACGCTAGTTGAAATATGAAATGGAAAAAACTGTAGAAGTGGTGCGAGATTTTTGGCGAAACAAAGTTGTAGCTACACGGAGGATCCCATGCAGGAAAAATTCTGAGAGGATCTCTTCTCAGAAAATGAAGGTAGCTATAAGAAACAATTTGTTATTGAGTGTATGTATTATTATACAGTGTATGAATTGATGATTAACAGATAACAGACTCATTTACAAACAATAGTGTAGTGGTATAGGACAAACTATAAACACACATTCAGAGAATTCACCAAATTCTATTGGCATAACAGAGTATGCACATCTACATCCTATACGTTGGACAGGAAGAAAACAACAGAGACACTAACGCCTTCATACACATCAGCACAAACTGTAGCAGGCACTCCATACCAGTCATAATTTAAGACATAAGCAAATACATGCTCTTCTTTGACTACATTATCTCCACTGTTGTATGCAAACTCATGTCGTAGAAAATACTGCACAACTCCGACTCGCATTCGACTGTAGTCAATGTTGTCAAGAGTCTGTGACTTACCTGGCCAATATGCCATAACTACCGATGATGATTTGCTATTTCGCCCAGGCAACTCTGATCCAACGAGATCCCCTGCCATTGTAATTCGGCCAAACTTGCGACAGAATCTTGACATAACTGTAGAGCTGCGATCCGGATAAAGTAATGCATACATCCCTTCTAACTGTTCCGCTATATCAAAAGTCAGTACTTCATCATAAATTAATGGTGGTAAGAGTGTTATTTCTCCAGTGTTTTAAAAATATAATGTATCTATATCCTGTCAAGTGGGCTCTGCACATACTGTAATAAACTGAGAGACTTGATTTAGGGAAAACTTTTTCATGACTTGGGGTTCAATTTCACACTTATTCGTGTGATATGATCCGAGAATACCATTGTAACGCTCAAAAGCAAAGCACCACGTGGCATGTGGAGGGCCATAATCTAAAAAGGTTTGCTTCAGATGCATAGCTAATTATGTAAGTGCATGTTGAATGTGGCGCTCATCGGGCCATACAACTGCTCGCACTGACGACAACTCTCATTAGTATGCATGCCATGGTGTAGGTGTGCTGACTCAGCCATACACTCACATGTGGTGTATGAGCTCTCATACACCATGGCATGCATACTAATAAGTTGTCTTAGTGCGACATTCCTGTGGTACAAATTAGTTACACTACACCCACTCGACGGTTTAGTGCGTACACTACTCGTGCTGCGCACTCGTAGTGTATGTCCACTAAACCGTCGAGTGGGCATAGTGTAACCTATAATATAGATATACACTGTAAAAACGGGGGTGTCAAATTTTGCAGCAACGACACCGCGGTGTTCCAGTTGCACTGCGGTGTCGCACGAAACACTGCAATGGTGTTTTCAACGCGCATACAACAAGTTAGCATGCGCGAACAGATCGGCCACGCCTTCCTGTCCTACCGCTTTGACCTTTGCACTCGTAACGTGGGGTTTCAGCAATGGGCATGCATGGGGGGAAGCGGTCTAGGGAAAAGCAGAGAGAGAGGCGACGATACCAGAAACGGAAAAGGCTACAAAAGCCACCTAAGAGGTCTTTGCAAGTTTTAACTCCGGAGAACTCAATTTTAATGCGGAGGATGGTTACCGCCTATCGAGACGACCTCAATTCGGAGATCCCAAACAGTTGTTCTGGCGAAACCTACCTTGCATCGGACTCTCTAGGGTCTTTGAGAGGCTCTGATAATATTGATAGCCCTCTGTTCGGTTCCTATAGTTCACCTAGCTCGCCGCCGTCTTCCCCGAGTTCACCTAGCTCGCCTCCGCCTTCCCCGGTCACGCAGGCGGCGACAGCACCGTTCGATGCCTATTGTTGTAGTCGATAAGAAGAGGAAGCTTGAGGTTCATATCTCTGACCCTGAATACGAAAGGTTGCCTGGAGCAGAAATAGTAAAACTTTCTACAGAGGAATACTTTCGTAAAATTGATGACCACAAAAGGAAGTCCCACATCACCATCAGGTGTCTGCGTGATAAAGTTGAAAGACTTGAAAAAGAGTTCTCCATCACCGACAACAGTTTTAAGATCAAGAAGGAAGAAGCTGTAAGTAGAGTAAGAAAGTTTTGGAGGAATTTCATTGAGGGTGACACTCATGGCGGAAAAATGGTTCAAGCAGCAAGAAAAAGAGCCGCATGCTAAAATGTAGACAGTAATCATTTGTGTAAACTTTATATGTATAATATTGCTCCTCAAAACTGTGTATTGTATTTTTTGATAAGTGACAATGATACAGTCCATAAGGGTGATAAGTGGGCAAGGTTCTGTGTTCAATCAAAAATTTCTCCCGCAAGGAAAGAGGTGGGAGTGATAATGCATAGGCATGGTAATGTTCACAAAACTGCACATGCATAAGCTCAAACTAAAAAAAAAACTTGCTTAGAGTACACTAACACATTTACGACATGTCCAAATTGTAGCTCATCATCTTCATGTGATCGTCCCACAACCAATGCACATGGTGTCTGGTATTTGGTTCCATGAACCTTCACCCAGTTTGCCCTATATACAAAACAGAGATCTGACGAACCATACCTCTAAACAAGTGCATTAGCTTACAACATTGTGGTACATATGTATTTTATATACATAATATTATATAGCACTGCCAAAATTGGATAATATACATGTAAGCTTGCTCCCAGCGCGCACTCACAAATGACAGAATAATGTGTCACACAATGAAGCTTGGCAAGAAAACACCAGAAGTATACAACCTGCTATGTAAACATGTACACAAAATTATATCCACACCTAAAAAATGAAGTAGATGGAGGAGCAGCGGTTGAGTTCCACAGAGGTAGTGTACAGCTGGAATTCTTACCTGCATGTTATGCATACAACATACTCATGTGTACACATTACGCCAATTATTCAGCAAAACAATGTACACACCATATAGCAATACGTTGTAATGAAAAGCACTTGAAAGTGCGTAACCCTCGCCACTGTTAATTATGGAGGTTCAATAGCAGAGACTGCTCTTCCTTTAATTATTCCAATCATCCTTGTTCACATTATTCTGGACATACGTTTTCAATACTAGTTACTACTACAGCAAAGTGAAAAGCACTCGACATGAATGTGTGTACTTATAATATGTGATATTAGACTCTTACTCCTTCGTTAGCCTTGGCATATGAACAATGGAGTGCATTTTCATCGTTATCTGTGTATCTGGATAGAGTGGTGATCACTAATCAGAGCTTCCAGGTAACCAATCGCATCATCAGCAACAGAGTGAGAAAAGAGGATATCGATTATATCCAAAAAGCAATTCTCCCAGCACTTGTCATCCTCCGGGATCAGGTGTCCAATGACCAGAGGAAGAAATCGTGCCAGAGTCCACATTTGCATTGCTGCACAGAGGTAAGAATGTAACAATCCATATATACATGTGTAAACATATTCATACCGTGCTGACAAGACGTGAGAGAAACACCACTCAAAGTTGATGGTTTGTCACCATCAAATGAACACAAATTCAGTTTCTTAAACCCATCATCAATAAAGGTCAGTGAGAACAGTTTTTTGTCTATCACAAATACCTGTGTAGAAAAGCGCATACATGTATGGCATGCACATTTACACTGCATGTTAAAACCTTGGGCATGAGCTTGACTTCAAGTGGAAGAGCACCTTCCAGAACATCATGCATGATGTCCGGGATGAGTGCACCTGATGCAACACTGAAGTACGACAGTGTATGTAGAAGAGCACGACGGTTGACACCATAAACCAGTGAAAAGTGCTGTTTGTCGGCACTTGAAAGATCTTGTCTGTCTAAAACACCACAGTGATAAGAGTGTCGTTCATCAATGCAGAGAGTAAACTGGGACTCAACAAACTGAAAGAAAAAAGTTGCATACAAGTACAGTACATATGTGTTACTCATGATATAGGGATGGTGTCATGTAGCTTTGTGCATCTTAGCTGTGTAATGACCCCTTGTTTCTTCCTTTTTGGTGCTTAAAGCCATCCCTATATCCCCCTTTCATTTTGAAGAAATGATTTTTCCACTTGTTTCCACTATTTTTCACGCCTTATGACAACACTGCATTTTCAGTCACTCTTATGTTCATGGGTGTTGTAGAGATAACTGTTGAAAGCAGAAGCTAATGGGCTGCTCCTACCTGAAGCAGGGTGTATGCGTAGTGTCTCCAACAAGGATGCAATTAGGTTGTGGCACATATATGGTGGGGTGCTTTCATAGGCAGGCTTCAGTAATCAGACTACAATGATAGCTATAACCTGGGGGGACAAAGAATGAAGGCGCTGTGCAAGGACCGCGTATAGCTAACACGGCGCACACTGCGAAGTTGCTCCTCGTGCAAATCAACAGCAAAACGCAAGATAGCCAGTTAAAAATGTGTATACTGACTTACAGAAGGCACTGGAGGATAAGAATTCCTCTGCAGGCTTCCTGGCTTAGTCTGGTTCACGCACGCTATAGTAATGCGCGCGCACCGCGCATTTTGGGGAAACGCCCTCCTCGGCGCGGCGCATGCGGCTCACTGATGCTGAGTTAGCAGCAAATGGCGTTGTTCAGTGACTATTGTGGAAGAGCTCAATGATCTACCGTAGTGACTTGCGGCAAGAAACAAGCGATCGCTTGATATGCGTGCACACCTCCGGAAAATTTGGAGACGTTCTGTGAAAAAATCAACGCTTCAACTGCTTCCGGTAAGGAGCTAGCGGGTCTGAAGAAGAAGAAGAAGAAGAAGAAGAAGATGAAGAATATGATGATGATGACACGAAAATCGCGAAATCGCGTAAGAGCGAATTCTCTGGTGGGGAACTGAGGGCACGTAAGAAGTCTTGGGGCATATGTATAGCTAGGTATTGGCCTCTAGACTTTTGCTAGTGATTTTGAAGCCATATCGGAAACACTTGTGAAACTGGACACTGTAAGTGGGTGGGTGTTATCGGTGTACCTACGTACCGGTCCGTTCTTTACTCAGCCTCCTAGCAGCACATCACCTATTACTCCCTCAACTGTTGCAAGTGAGAAGTATACTTCTACACCATCCGTTTCACGGACATGGATGTGTCCACGTCGTTCCCTGACTGATACTACCTCCGCAGATTCGTAAGTGGATGTCACTTCATGCAATGTTACTGTGACAATTATGCTGTAGAGTTGATGACTCTCCAACTCCTACTCCTCCATCAACCCTATCGTCTGCTGTATTGTCTACAGATTCGTATGTTTCTATTATCAGAGCGTCGGTAGACGCTCTATATAGGGATGACACGAGTGAAATCTCACGTGATCCGCGTACAAAACGCCTCAAAACTCAGCGAGAATGACTCACCATGGCTTCAAAATCACTAGCAATAGTCTAGAGGCCAATACCTAGCTATTCATATGCCCCAAGACTTCCTACGTGCCCTCAGTTCCCCACCAGAGAATTCGCTCTTACGCGATTTCGCGATTTTCGTGTCATCATAATCATCATAATATTCTTCTTCTTCTTCTTCTTCTTCTTCAGACCCGCTAGCTCCTTACCGGAAGCAGTTGAAGCGTTGATTTTTTCACAGAACGTCTCCAAATTTTCCGGAGGTGTGCACGCATATCAAGCGATCGCTTGTTTCTTGCCGCAAGTGACTACGGTAGATCGTTGAGCTCTTCCACGGTAGTCACTGAACAACGCCATTTGCTGCTAACTCAGCATCAGTGAGCCGCATGCGCCGAGGAGGGCGTTTCCAATGCGGTGCGCGCGCATTTTGCCTGATCCACGAACGAGACTAAGCCAGGACTGGATGCCTGCAGAGAAAACTACTCTCATCCTCCAGTGCCTTCTGTAAGTCAGTGTACACTTTGTAAGTGGCTAACTTGCGTTTGCTGTTGATTTGCACGAGGAGCAACTTGGCAGTGTGCGCCGTGTTACGCGGGCCTTGCACAGCGCCTTCATTCTTTGTCCCCCAGGTTATAGCTATCATTGTAGTCTGATTACTGAAGCCTGCCTGGCAGTGTGCGCCGTGTTACGCGGGCCTTGCACAGCGCCTTCATTCTTTGTCCCCCAGGTTATAGCTATCATTGTAGTCTGATTACTGAAGCCTGCCTATGAAACCACCCCACCATATGTGCCACAATCTAATTGCATCCCTGTTGGAGACACTACACATACACCCTGCTTCAGGTAGGAGCAGCCCATTAGCTTCTGCTTTCAACAGTTATCTCTACAACACCCATGAACATCAGAGTGACTGAAAATGCAGTGTTGTCATAAGGCGTGAAAAATAGTGGAAACAAGTGGAAAAATCATTTCTTCAAAATGAAAGGGGGATATAGGGATGGCTTGAAGCACCAAAAAGGAAGAAACAAGGGGTCATTACACAGCAAAGATGCACAAAGCTACATGACACCATCCCTATATCTTTGTGTTATTGTTCACAACCAATCTCGCCCTGCTGACATTTTCCTCCCTAATTGGGAAAGAGCCGCGCTTGCCGTCTCTGTCATTTCCACTCTGCAACAGTTTACCTTGAAGCAAAGTTTAATATGAGACAAAGATATAGGGATGGTGTCATGTAGCTTTGTGCATCTTTGCTGTGTAATGACCCCTTGTTTCTTCCTTTTTGGTGCTTCAAGCCATCCCTATATCCCCCTTTCATTTTGAAGAAATGATTTTTCCACTTGTATATAATATAATCATTTCGCAATTTCTATCTTTTTAATTCGGTATTACCATCCCTCCAGGCTATCCGTCAAATATCTCATACATCACAGGATTAAAGGAGAACTCTCATTTCTAGGTTGAAGGACCCCTCTGAGCTATTATCAAAGCAAGACACTCCACCCCGTCATGTTCAATGCACAATAATGCTCCTCTCATAGCTGAACTGTGTTACTGCATACTTGCAACAACATGTCATCTTGTTACTCCGATAAGTACTAATGAACTCATATGAGATACCCTTCATCCAATTTGTTCATCTTATATTCAATTTTTTAGTTACATTGGAACCTCATTAATACAAAGAAGGACTGAGGGATTCATTAGCTCATAATTGAACGTAACGCAACTTCCGGGGTACATTCCTCTGCCATTTTGTTCACATTTTAATAAGTGCTGAGTATTTCTGAAAATTGGAAACGGACTTTCACTTGGACGCTGTTGTAAGCAAATGCAAAGCAGCAGGTGCGGGACTGCATGTATTGACGGCCAAATATTCCAGCCCCATCCTCCGCTACCCACTGAGATGTAGGCTAGCCTGTGTTAGGCGACAACTGACAACGCATGGCCCAGCCCACCTACCTTTCAAAACTACGAACATTTTCCGCCGAGGGTTTGCACTTTAGTGCTTTTCATTGCCTCAGTCTGTTAGTCGTCATCTACATTTTTATTTCACTTCCAAAGTAGATAAGTGTACAAAGCTATAGGAAAAACAGCACTTAATTGCCTGGGGCTGTTTGTTGTTGTTTTCGTAATTTCTGTTTCGATGAACTCTCACCATGGTACATCAGTGTACCAAGTTTCATTGTTAGAGGACCCACAATAAGAAAGTTAGAGGCACAAACACCATTTACAAGTATTTATTGCCTGAGGCTGTTTGTTGTTGTTTACAAACTTGTATGTTTACATTTTGATACTAATGATGTGTGTGCATGTGTGTACAAGTTTCCTCACTCTGGATATAGCTTTACCCAGCAGTTAGCACACTTTATTTGTCTCTATCTATATGTATTGCCTGGGGCTATTGTTGTGTTTACAATGTAAACATTTTTACGAAAACATTAACATGTCTCTTGCACGCCTGTCGTGGATTACAATATCTGTGCAAGTTCATATCCATATCTTACCCGGTTTGAGATACGCTTGTACTTAACTGAACACAACAACAACAACAAGAGAAATTGAAAAGTGACTTTTTTTTGAATTGCATAACAGATTATCGATTTAAGCTATTTCTTGAT